AATTGAGACTATTAAAATTTTCCAAGACACTTTGTCTAAATTAAAAAATTTTTGTAGCGAAAAAGTTTCAATAGTCTGTTTCGGTGAAACGCGTAATGGGGTTAGTTTGATTCGACGTTCAAACAAATTAAATTTCCCTTGAAAAGCCAGTTTGAAAGTCGAGTTGGGCTAATTTACCATTTTCCGCTTACTTTTTTTTTTATCTGATTCTGTTTTTTTTAATGTTTTACGTGTTTAATGGTTTGATTTTCATATGTATTAATTTTTTTTTAAAACGTGTTGAACTTTTTGGAGCAGCAGCTCCTGGTAACGTTTAGGCGAGCTTACTACAATTTTTATATTTTACTTATTTTGCAGCATATTGCGCAAAATGTTTTCTAGACCAAATTGGTTTTTCAAAATTGTAATTATTACCTTGCTTGATATATAAATATATTTATATACGTTTGGTGCGGCCGATTGCAACCAAAATACGAGGTGCACATCTACATGTTATAGCAGTCCCTATATACAAAATTTCAACGTTCTGAGGCTACTTGCTTTTGAGTTATGCGAGATACGTACGTACATACGTTCGTACAGACGCCACGAAAAATTCTCTTCAGAATTAATTTTAAAGCAGTTTTATAATTTTTTTTGAGGAAACTAGTCTTTCATTCTGTTCTTACGTACAGGTATCACGCAAAAATATTTTTGAATTGCATTCGATAGCGGTCAAAATGGATATTTGCGTTGAAATATGCTGCCTGAAACTTTTCGCGATTACAATAGTTCCTTTTTACTTCGTACAAGGAAGTAAAAAGGCGATTTAAATAAAGAATAAACACGAAATTATAATTCAAGCACATTTCTACTAGTGCTAATCATCATAAAGGGAAACCTAAACTTTAATACGCAGTGATTGGCAATTTCATTGGGTTTAGGAAGAGCAAATTTAAAAAGTATATTAGTAGAAAGAAGTACTTCTATGATATTTTCAGTTTAATACTTCATATACTTTCTATAATAGGTTTTGAAATTTTAACACGGCTGTTTAAGCTACTTATTTTATCACTGTCCCATTCCAAATATTTTAAACTTTACTTACTCGGATATTAGACAGGTGAAATACGCTGAATGAGCTCAGATGAAGCAATTAAAAGTTTAGTAATACTGCCTTCGCATTTTCAGATGTTTAGTAAATTTTACAAACTATAAACGCTTAGCTTGCAAAAACTTCTTAAAGTTCGGTTAGAAATACGTTTTCGTTCAAATAGTGCAAATCTAGCTACTTACAAATTATACAAAGCTAAGACTGCTGCAAACTGCCGTATAGGACAGAATGTTTTCCACTTTATGGAATTGTTGATGATAGTGAAGATTAATGCATGTTGGTGAGTTTCGCCGTAAAGTCTCAGCTTATGTATGCGACTTTAGATAGAGTAATGAAACTCATAGATCAAGCTGGTTATACGGAATGAAGACTTTATAGAACAAGTTTAAGCGGCCCAAATAAATCACCTTAGTATCTCTCTAAAGAAGCAATTTATTCAAATGTTTGATAATAATTATAAAAATCAAAACGCTTGGCTGCCGCCAACTGGTAACATACTCATAAATGAACAAAGAAAAATTAAAGAAATTTTATTATCTCAGAAGGCATAGATCATAATAGAAAAGTAGAAAGAAATTTAGTATGCTTAAATAGCTTGATTTTGGAGAAAAAGAGTGACATTTTTAGATGTCTGTTCATAGAAAGCAAATAAGGCAAATCTTTGTTTCCATGTTACGTATCAGTATGTAATTATTTTAAACTGTAAAAAGTCACTATGCATTACTATGCGGAAAACGTGATAAAACAACTGTGCCCTCACCGGGATACGAACCATGGATCTTTCACTGTATTAACTAGACGTGCTAACTACTTACACCACGAGAACACGCGTGGGGGAATATAATTTTTTTTTTCTTCTTCACTTAAAGGGTGCTTGGAAAAAGGCATGAGACCCAGTCGATCAAATCCAGGCGGTGGTGAATTATGGCTCAGAAAACACTGTAGTAAACATTAGGTTGTCTTGTGACGGAAACGTGAAAAATTACCTGGGCGCTTTCCGAAATCAGAATCTTCCACTTGATTAATTCGAGGTGCTAGTAAGACGTAACTACTTAATATAAAATGAAGAAATTTAAATGCAAAAATAAAAGCCAGATTTGAAATTTGTTTTAAGATGAGCTTTAATTTTATTCAAAAGCAAAGATTTAGTTTCCTGAGTTGACTACGGTGGTTACTGTTTTTATTTAAAAAAAAATAAATTACTTCTATAAATTTCTTTCTTTTTTTCTTATTTTCATTTATATATTTAAAATTTATTAATGGTTAATTTTTCTTCCATATGTAAGCTTTTAATCTGAAATTTTCAGATTGCAAAATTCTTTTTTGTTTGTTTATTTATTTAAACAAATGCAGTAAAAAAAATACTTTTAAATGAAGCCTCATAATTCAAACCAGCGATGTTCAATAATCCCCTATAATTTTAAACGCAAGATCAGAAAAAAAAATGTACACATCTAAAAGTCATTTATTCATCAATTTATTCATTAAAAATTTTTTTCGCATTATGCGAGTTTTAGAGTTATTGCCATCTGTAAGTAATAAGCAACATTAAACAACGCTTTCATTCAATCAACTTCTGTTCTACAGAAAGGAGGCAAGAAAACGTGATCGCAGTAAAATAAATAAATAAATTTCAGAAGTTACGCCATGCATACCATACAAGGTTGTTGGACTTGAATAAATAATCAAAGACAGCGGAGGAAACAATTTAAAATTTTTTTGAAAAGCTTCCGCAATAACTAAACTACTCCCGAATCTACTAAAGCTCGTCACGTGATAAATAATCCAATGCGACCTTTGGCTCGACGTAACATGTCTGGGATAAGAAAGAAAATAATTTAATATGTGATCTCCTTGTAAGAGTCGGGGTTAGAATTGGGAGATTTTCTCTACCGCCTAACAAGGAACAATGTGTGGTGGGGAGAGGGAGATCAGAGAAGAATACGCTATTAATCGCGAGTCGGCAGAAAGACGAATTATCCTGGGCCCTCGCGGCCAGAGGGCCTGTCATCTCATCCTTCAGATAATTCTTTGCTAAAAAAATTCCCCATCAAGAATAAATTGGAAGGGGTTGTAGCAAAAATACTGCGTAACATGTCATTTCATAGAAACGGTATTTTTATGAAATAAAAATTCCGTATTATCGAGTCACATTTATGAATATTTTATAAGATGGATTATTGTTATAATCTGTTTCAAAGTTGCATCGTTAATTACATATTCTTTTATTTGTCTTTAATTTATTTCTTCCTGAAATTTTTAACGAAATCACTGTAATAAAATATATATTAACACGATAATGCGTTTTTATCAAAAACTGTTATTGTATTAATATAAATTTTAAGAAGGTTCATGGTGTATTCTCCCTGCCCTTAATTCATTTTTCAGAAAACTTTCTCAATTTTGAAAATTTAATAAAAATATATAAATTACTTATTTATCAAATTTTATGTAATGATTAATTTATTCCAGCTGCTGTTTGAGTTGAATTCCTTTTAAAAAGAATTTATAGAAAGTAATGTATAACTATTATTTATCCCATATAGAACGATTATGATTCTTCTGATTCCTTTTAAATTTTCTTACGTGGAAATTGTACAGAACAAAGAGTCAAAATCGAAATAAATTAAAAATTTAAGGGGTAATTTTGGGTAAGGAATTTTCTCTTTCCTCACTGGGTATCATCGGGGTGTAACTGGAAGCACTTTCGGCTAACCAATTGGAAGTTTTGCTGTTTGAATCCCGGCGAAGGCGTCGCTCATTTTTCCCGCTTCCTATTTCGGCAGCCTTAATATGAAGTTCATGAAGATTTAATAAACTTGATTTTATTAAGTAACGCCAAAACTAACATTTCATGAACCACCTGGATTTGGCGGCAGGGTATACTTCCTCCCCAACAACTCTTCAAGTGGGTCAGAATGTAAGGAATTTTCTCCTTCCTCATTGCAAGCCTTCGTGGTGTAACTGGAAACACGTCCGGCTAGCAAATGAAATGTCCGGAGTTCGAATTCCTTCGTTGATTTTTCATGCTCTAGACTCCATTATTGTCCACAAAAGATTTATTCATATGCAGCATTAATCAGTTTAGTGATGAAAGAATGTTATTAACTTAGGTGTATGTGCTCCAAAACGAATGCCTAATGGAAAAAAAAAAAAAAAAAAAAAAAAAAAAAAAAAAAAAAGCAAGCTTTGATATCCTATAATAATAATTGATTTTTACGTCTAATTGTGATGGTCATTAGCCGAAAATGCGTCATTTAAATAGATCAAATAAAAAAGAAAGAGGCCAGTAATTGTTGTGACATCCATCGAACAAAGAAAAGAATTAAAAATATGAGCTAGGTCTCCTAAACATATCTAATTATGCAGAATTAGAATTAGTCACATTAATTACAGGTAAGATTTCGAAATTCTAATTAGTAGATTAGTAGTAGTCTAAGTAGATTTCCAAATTCTTATTCACCAAATCCTTTGGATACATTTAGGAAGATTTTGGATAAAGTTGGAAGAATGATTAAATGACCAATAGTGATCAGCGATGAATAATTCACTCAAATTTTATTACGATTTATGAAAATAGAAGAGAAATACGTCAAGTGAAACATAAAATTAGTAAAACAACAACATTTAGTGTAGATTTATGTAACAAGATCTAAACTGCAGATTTCTTTACTCCTGACTATGACAGACATACCTGTTTGTTCTCGAATTCGATTGAGATCTTGACATAAACCTACGCCAAACTCAAGGTTGTTGTACTACTAATTTTACTATTTATGAATCAAAAGATGAAATAAACCAAGACCATGGTCATGGTATGTTTTAGTTAAGCAATGTTTACAACTGTCAACGTTCATCATCAATTAAAAAAATTAGCTAAATAATTCACATAAATTAGAAAACTCACCCCGACAATGGCGTTTAGCTCTGTCATTGTGACTTGCTTTGCACGCTCTACCGCAGCAGCAACCTGCTGCTGGTGCTGCAAGAAAAATTATAAAATGATTAGAAACATATATTATATAACCATATAAAATATACTCCATGTTTTGACAATATTTGAAGTTAAATATTGGTGGAAAAATACAATTATTTAGCGACATAATGCAGTTATAAAGGTCTATTTCTAATATCTCAACACAGTTTCTGCCAAAACTATAAAAATTATACAAATCTATTAAAATTAAAATCGGTAAAATAATACGACTAATAAACCTATATCACTTAACCGTATAACACACACTTCACATTTTGACAATTATTAAAGTCAAATACTGGCGGAAAATATATTATTATTTAGCGAAATAATGGTGTTCTAAGTTTGCATTTCTAATATTCCAAACACAGCTTCTATGAAAACTATAAGAATTGCACGAATCCACCATTAAAATCAGCAAATCATGAAATGTTTTGAAAATTTAAAATATCAAAGCAAATCAATGAAGAACAAATAACTATTTATTACATTAAAAGTATAAAAAAATACTATAAATTATTTAATCGGCAAAAAATTACACTTCTTTTATCATAAAGTTCCGGGTCTAGAACTGTTTGCCATCGCCATTTCACCGTGGCCGTTTCGCAGTGGCGTCGGGACGTTTCGCCGTCAGGATGTTTCGCTGTCGGGACGTTTCGCCGTCGAGATGTTTCGCGGTCAAGACATATTTTTCCTTAGATGATTGTATTTTGTCTTGCAGTATTATACTCGTATTAAATTTATTAAGTTTAATAATTCTGTTTAGCTTTTGTATACTTATTGAAGGTTGTTTTTAATATTTATAGTTATTTACAAGTATGAGATGTAAAGAAATTACACGTATTTAGTTGGAAAATTATGTCGGTATCAAAGCGAACTGAAACTAAACTTCTGATATAACAGAAGTTATATTATCGATTTTAAAATTATACGGGTACGATATTTACATCATTCGTCAAAATTTCCTAGTCGGCTAGTTCAGAGAAATCACTCATACAAGCAGGAAGTTCACATATTTATGAAATCTGAAAGCAAAACGGAATTGCCTTGGAATCTTTTAAGCGCCTTACTCTTTTAAAATTAATATGTCATGTGTAACGGTGTACTTATATAAAACTGTACACAAGAACATTTTATATAAAATGTTCATTAATTTAAATTAAATTATTAAACTAAACAGAGTTATTAATTTAAATCAACTCAATCTAATACAGTCGAAGAAAAATATGTCTTGACGGCGAAATGTCCCGACGGTGAAACGTCCAGACGGCGAAACGGCCGGCCACGGTGAATACTCCCATTCCTTTAAGTTCCTACTTTGAAAAATTGCATTCAGATAATTTCAAGACTTACATCATTGAAAAGATTATAAACAAAAAATGAGGAGTGTTTTTAATATTCATTATGTAATAAAATAAAAAAATTAATTTAATAAATATTAAATGCTAAATTAATTAATAATACTGCGTAAAATTAAAGATTAAATGTAATTTTTGCATAATTGAAATATGACATGTGGAATAATTTAATTTTGCCATCGCAGATCTAATTCATTTATCTCAAATGAAACCTAAAACATTTTTTTTTAAAAAGACGCAGCCAAAAATAAGCAAACTGCGAATTAATTAAGTATCTGAGAGAGATAATAACGAAGAGTTATGGTGCAGAAGCTTTGCCATGCGGTTTCAGACAGTAATTAATTACTCCTGTATGCATTTTCAACAAAACACTCGTTTCAGGCAAAGGCAAATTTCAATTGTATAGATTAAAACAGACATAAATATTATATATCTGAATTACTTTGATGACACTTTGAAAGATGTTCTGATTTAAAGCAGGGGGAAAATAGTGCATTTTTAGCATAATATTTAAACAGTAGAACCGAACGCGGTTTATAACGAATAACCCGATATAACGAACAAAGTTCTTTCCTATACACTAACATTATTTTATACAACTATAAAGAGTCTCCAAACGTTGTGAATCGGATGTAATGAACTTCATGAAATAGCTTTAACTGAAATAATTTTTGTACTTGTTTCCTATGGAGAGTTGTAAACGTTATTCTTCAAAATAGTACGAGGATTATAGTATAGATATAATAGAGATATATAATATAGAAAATATAATATAGAAAATATAATATAGATACATCTCGTCAGATATTGAGTAGGCTGTTGCCTACTCAATATCTAACGGGAATACAGTTTACCCCAATCTACAATGGTGTCATGTGGGAAAAATTATACTCGATAATTTTTGGTTATCGAAAAAATTTGGATACTGGGATAATATTGAGAAAATTCGAGCATAAGGATGTTGAAGAGGCATTCCTGAAATGGTTTACAATTCATAGAAGCCCCAATTTGCTTATATCTGGTCAAAGGCTTCATATTAACAGCGATGAATTTACTCTTTACTTTTTTGTGCTCATATGGCTGGTTGGATGCCCTTAGTAAGCGGAATATTGTATTACGAAAAATTGTCGGAGAATCAGGAGTGTTTCAAAGATTGATCTCAAGAAACTGGGAAATAAATGGGATGCCTTTTACCACCAGAGACACTATTAGTGCCAATGCAGATGACGTCAAACTAAATGTTAAAATTTAAAGACTAAATATGCACCAAGTGAAGATTATCAAAAGTGTGTACAAGTACATCAAAAGTGTAATTTAATTTAATTAATGAATTTAATGAAATTTAATCTAATTTAATTTAATTTCGCTTTAAGAAACAAGACTGGAGAAGTTTGACAATTAAGTAGATTATATAATAATTCACTTCTTGATGGAATACTGGTACTAGAAAAATCTTGGAAACTTGTTACAGAACCGATCATCCGAAACTATTTTTCAGCTCGGCGGCGTAACAAAGAGTGTTGAAGAGGAAGCTGATGAAAAAGAGGATTTGTTTGTCTCTAAGAGGCTAACAAAAAGTGCCATTTCAATGTTTTCAGATTGTGACATGATGCATTTCCAAATATATGATGACGATGTTGTTACATACGAAGATATGACTGAAGAAAATATTACAATAGAAATTAAAATATTGACATCTAAGAATATTCTTCAGATGGTGATGAACATATTAAAGAAATCTAACACACAGACGCCCTTACCGGGGTGAATATCAAAACTGTGAAACATATAATTAATACGTTTTTATTTACACGAACTATGACATTGAAACTCGTGCATTCTCTTCAGTTTTTGCACAAACATATACATGAAAGTTTTCTACAATCAGCATCGCTCCACCAAGAAATTGCTAACCATTTTTGTGCTTACACATTAAGTAAACGTTAAAACCATATTTATTAATAATATTTGTAACTCATTTTTAATATTTTTAAGTTTTTCTATTTAAAATGATTATATATGATTAAAAATGTGTATTTCAGGAGATATGTACACTGATGTGGAAAAAAAAACCAACACCAAGAAGGAGTTACGCTAGATAAACGAAATTTGGTAGTCTTTGTTTATTCCATTTGTTTCGATACATCATCATTTTGATTTGTTTGTTCGACACTGTTTCGACACGTTTGTCTGACATTTGTTTCGACACGCCAATATACGTGATCTTTCAGATGACATCTATTAAAATTTTGCGCTGAGCGCATAAGTGTGGCGCTAGTAGCGCCACTATAAACATGCAAATCAGGTTTGCTTTAAATACGCCTGTAAAGTTGGTGAGCGGTTTTTATCGTTGAGATTAGACGTAGTCAGCTGATGTTAGTCAAGAATGCTTTTAAGGAGACAAAGCCATTATCAGCAGCTCAGTGAGTTCGAGCGAGGTCGTAGGGTTGCGAGAAGGTAGATTTCCTTTCCGCGATATTGAAGAAAAACTTGGCAAGAATGTAGCCATTGTGCATGATTGTTGGCAGCAGCAGTGGTCAAGGGAAGGTACTAGTTCAAGAAGACCGAGTTCCAGGCGGCCAAGTAGAGCTACTGAGACGGAAGACCATTGTGTTCGGAGTATGGCAGTGGCGCACCATACTGTGTTTGCAGCAGAAATTCGACCCGCAGTTGGCACCACAGTGACACAACGAAGTGTTGCAAATCGGTTATTTTAAGGATAGCTTCAAGCCAGACGTCCTGTAGCATGCATTTCATTGACTCTAAACCATTGCCGTTTACATGAAGCTAGAGCTCATTGGGGGACGGAATGGGGTTCTGTTATATATGTATATAATATAACGTTACACACACATATATATGTAAAATATAAAATAGCTAATCTATCTTTCAAATAACAAATTAATTATAGACCTTTAATTCCTGTCTTCAATATAAAATAACAGAGCAATAAATTTTCTAACTAAATGAAAAAGATCCGTCATCTAATCTGTATTGCACACTTATCCATGAAATCTGAACCCGACCTCTGGACATTAATCTGTCATGTGATCTGAAATGGAATTCGGTATAAAAAGGTAATTGCGTCACAGCTCTTCCTTCTTCGCTCTTCACCTCTGCTTCTAGATGCTTGTGTCGCCTTGCCTCTAGCCACGCGAAGTTTACTTTTCTAATTTCGTCCATTGTTAAGGATGTAAGTTTCGTCCATTGTTAAGGATGCACTCACAGTGATGGTGTACATTATCAAGAAATAAAATTATATGTGTATCGTTATGTGTCTGATTCGAGTGTCATCTTGCTAACTATGCAGTTATAATGCAAAGCATCATCGGCAATCCGTTGCAACTGTTTTTTCGCCAAGTCATCTTATTACAATAATGCTATAGGCTTATTACAATAATGCCACAATCTTATTGCAATAATGGAGCAGTTATATTACACACACACACACACACACACAACATATATATATATATATATATATTACATGTATCCTTTTTTACTGAATAAGCAATAATTCATTTACTATTTTAATATTATATCTTTAATTCACCACATGTTCAGTGAATTACAATAGTTTTTCGTTACAATAGACCTTTACTCAACTTTCTCCGAGATGATTATCTTACCATTGCACATATAAATCTT